TCAGAGAACTTAGTGAGTGGTTTTCTTTTCCACTTTTACATAGGTTCCAGAGATTGGACTCAGGTTGTCAGCTTGTTTCAAAAGTGCTTTATCCACTGAGCCATTTTGCTGGCTCCTTCCACATGCCTGCCTAATAATCCTTTTTTTTTTTTTTTTAATACAAAACCACTGACAATCCAAAGTGAGTTAACTTTAACCTAATCACCTGTATTCCATTCAGTGACATGTTATCAGAACCAGGGAGTAAAATGAACGTTGTTTCAGAGTACTCTTCAATTTGCTATACTTAAACGTTTAAAAAAAACTTAACTTAGATATCTTATAATTCCATATTGCCAGAGATCATATCACAACATTCTGTTACTGATACAAACACACTGTTTCTGTCTTCCCAGAAGCTGGGATCCCTGGACATGCCAGTTTCAGGCCACATGGCCTTGATTCTCCATTTATAGATGCTAATTAAGACTTCATGCTATTCAACTAAATTCAAAACCGGAGCAGGAACAGAAAGACTATCCTGATGTAATTTTTCTTTTCCTTTTTATATTTTTAAAAAAATAATCCATATTGAAAAAAAATTCATAAAACCTCAGTCAACAACCCAAAATACTTACACAGCAACCAACTGGATTTTGAACTTGATAGATGTTGGATTAAATTCTGGCTTGCTTAAGTTGTGTTCACATTTCTAAAAAGAGAAGTACATGTCAGAGGAAAAAAAAGAATATACTCTGAAGATCCATAACACCATTAAATGCAGAAAGAAAGTAATTACTAGAATTTTATGTTTTGTCCTGCTCAAAATCTATAAAATTTAAAACAATTGATGGTACTGCTAACCAAAAGTTATAGAATACATATGGGTCATTACAAATATAGTGTGTAGTGCTTAGAAACTATCCACATAGCTAGCACATTCCAAGCACTCAGTGTGCGAACAACACACACTCTGACTTAAAACAAGTACCACACTGACTTTATCAGATGAAGGTACACAGCTTATAATGTTCTCACTCAACAGATGATTAAAATGGAACCCAAAAAGGAGAAAGAAATAACCCATATAGCTTCCGAGATCTGTATGAATGCAAGGATTTAAGTCCAATGACATATGTAACTTGGTTAAAAATACTTTTAAGTAGTACAGAGATTTTTCTATTATACAGAGTATATATTTTTCTATTATACAGAGTGTCCCTTGTTTCTCCTTGCAGGGCCAATCTGCACAGGGCAGGCTAGACACATTAATGTATAGGTATATTTCATCTTTCTTTTTTCATAATAATACAAAAGGGAAATCAATACATTCTCTTGTCCTTTCCATTTTATATTAATCTTGGAATTTATCCCAGCACACATAGGAACCTCATCTTTAATGTTTCACTGTAATGATTTCTATAACTTTAGCCAGACAACAGACATTTAGAATATTTCCATCACTTTGTGACTATTAAGTAAAGCAGCAATGATTATTGGACACGAGTCACTTTCCAATACATAAATGTGTCAGTAAGACAATTTTTAAGAATGGATCAATGGGAAGGCCATTCTCTACCTTGATAGATACTCCCAAACTGCTAATTTCTGCTATCTGATTATTATCAAATGGCATCTCGAAGCAGTTTTAATACACATTGCTGTGATAACTGTGTAAGTTCAAGTATCTTTCATGCTCACCAACTACAGGAATTTTCTCTGCCACATTCACTAGTTAATTTTTATAATGGGTTACCTTGGGTGTGTTTGGCTTTTGACAGAGGGTCTTGGAACATGCCCCTCCCTGCTTTTGCATCCAGAATGGTGGAATCATAGGTCTGTGCCCTGTGCCCTGTGCCCTGCTTTATATTTGCTCTCCGTTCTGCGTTCTAGAGTCAGGTATACATTCTAGATATAGATCCTTCATTGCCCATACACCTTATGAATGACCTTCTCAGTCTCTGTACATCTTTTTATTTGTTTACAGATTTTTTTTTTTTTGTGGGATTAGAGCAGAAGAGTTTCACTGTGATAAAAGATGCAATTTTACTTTATGTTTGATGTTTATGAAACAATCCCTTACTCAGAAATCTAATAAATAGTATAAAAGTTAATACAGATTTACATAGCTGTAGATATAGAATACACCACTAATACAGTAATAGCTACCCAAAATAAATAATCTAAAGGTTTTCTTTTCTTTTTTTTTTTTTTTTTTTTTTTTTTTTTTTTTGAGCCAATGTCTCATGTACATGAGCTGGGCTTGAATTTGCTATGTAGCTGAGGATGACCCTGAACTTAATGATCATTCTGTTTCTACTTCCTGAACACTGGAATTACAGGCATGTAGTCCACATCATTTTATGTGGTACTGGGGATTGAACCCATGCACATTAGGCAAGTGCACTGTCAAATGATCCACATGCCTACTACCTACCCTCTAGCAAAATTTAATAGTCTATTCTTTCCCCAATAATTTGCAATGCCATAATTAGCAAACATCAACTTTTTTTTTTTTTGAGACAAGGTTTTTCTGTGTAGCCCTGACTGTCCTGAAATTCACTCTGGAAACCAGGCTAGACTAGACTCAGAGATCCCCTTGCCTCTGCCTCCAGAATACTGGAATTAAAGGCATGTGCCACACCACTCATGGCTAACACCAACTATTTTTACATGCATAGATCTGTTTCTGCCTTTTCTGTTTTGTCTCAAGAGTCAACTGCATATAAATACATATAAAATGTATAGATTTTCTTTTGTGTTTATATATACATGTGGCCTTTTCTTCCTTTATACATAAAAGTTGCACTCCTACCATTTACTCTGTCTTTTGTATTTAAAAATATATACCATGCTAGCTATTTGAATACAAAATATTATGCAACGTGCAAACTTGACAGGAAAAAATAACTGCTTATTTATTTTTGGGTAGCTATTACTATATTAATGGTGTATTCTATAACCAACAGCTATGTAAATCTGTATTAACTTATATACTATTTACTTTTGTTAAAGTCTGTTACTTTTGGTTTTCTCTTATATTCTGCATTATTTCTTAATTCCTTAATATAGTTAGTATCTGCTTTTACTTCTATTTTGCTGCTGTTTTTTTATAATCTCTGGAAACAGATGCTGAGATACTAATATTTTAACTTCTCTTATGTGTAAATACTCTTGTATCTGTAACTCTGTACAGCTACACAGGCTTTACTTACAGCCTCTAAGTTTTGCGATGTAAGAATTATCAATTTACAACTTCATACATTATGATCAAATGAAACACTTTCACATTTATTTTTATTTAAGTTTTAATTTTGTGTATGTGAGTGTCTCGATATGTGCAGGTAAGTGCAAGTACCTCATGGAGGCCAGAAGGAGATGCTGAATCCTCTGCAGCTGAAATACAGGGGGTTTTGAGCTCCAAAATAGGGTTCTGGGACTGAACTTCTCTGCAAGAGCAGTGAGCATTCTTAACTGCTTAGTCATCTTTCCTGCCCGAGACTTTCTTTATAGTCCAGTATACAGTCAACTTTTCAGAGTGCTCTGAGTACACTGTACAGATGTTAGGTATAATGTTTTATATACATGTATATTTGGTCAGGTTTGCCAGTTAAAGGTTCCAAATCTTTCCTTACTTGTTTGGTCTGTTTCTAAGATATATATATGTGTGTGTGTGTGTGTGTGTGTGTGTGTGTGTGTGTGTGTGTCAAAACATCCCCAAATTATATATCTGTTTATGTAATTTTCCCAAATATTGCTTTGTGTACTTTGAGTCTATTATTTGGTATCCACAAATTTTGATTGTTATATCATCTGTGAGTAGAGCCTTTTTAAAAGTGAAATATGATGTTGGGCATAGTGGTGCATACCCTTATATCCTGGCACTAGGGAGGCAGACACAGGAAGATCTCTGTGAGTTTGAGGCCTGCCTGATCTGCATGGTGAGTTCCAGGACAGTCAGGACTATATAGAAACTCTATTCAAAAATCCAAAACCAAAAACAAAAGGAAGGAAAAAAAAAAGCGAATTTTTTTTTTTTTTTTTTTTTTTTAAATTAGTGTTTGTCTAGCCAGGTGTACTGGCACATCTTTAATCCTAGCACTTGGAAGGCAGATCTCTGTGAGTTTAAGGCCAGCCTATTCTACATGAGTTCCAGGATAGCCAGAGATATATAGTGAGACCATGTCTTGAAAATGAAAAGTAGAAAAAAAAAAAACTAGTGTTTGTACAACCTCCATTGCTCCTTCTTCCTTCCTGCTGAGAATCAAACCCAGGACTCTGTGTGTGTGAAGAAAAGCACTCTTAACCCTGAGCCCGTGGCATTCTGAGACAGGGTATTGCTGTACAGCTCAGGCTGGCATTGCAGTGATTTTCCTCCTGTCTCAGGTGCCCAGGAGCTGGGTTACAGGCATGTACCAACCATATCCAGCTCTATCTGCACTTTAATTCTATCTGAATTCTTGTATCTGTGTTGTTTTAATCAGCATATAAATGAGTTGTGGTGTTTAGTCAATTTATTTAGTTGGGTAGCCTATGTCTTTCACTTACTTGATCAGTTTGAGTGTGGGCACTCCTCTCCTTCTACCAGGTGGGTTCCAGGGATCAAAAGTCATTATGTTTGATGGCATGTGCCTTCATACACTGAACCACTTGAACTGGTAATAAGTTCATTCTACAGTCTTAGTTATCTTTGTGATAACTATTAGACATTATGCCATTCATCCATAAATGTTTTGGCATGTATCTCCAAAAAAATGAGGATACTGAAAAAACATTATTCCTAAAAAAGACTAATACTTTAAGAACATAAAGAAATCCTGCTAATATTTAAATTTCTCAGATTTTATACATTTTTGTTTTCTCCCCTCCTCCTCATTCCCTTCCTCCCTAGACTCTTTTTGTATCTAAGCTTTATATCTGTATTTTGTCTGGATCAGGATCTACAGAAGTGTACAAACTGTGCTGGCTGGGATGCCTTTAAATTGCTTCAATCTTGAGCTGCATTATTTGATAACATTAGCCATATGTGGTTATTTAAATGAATTAGGAGTCAGCACTTGGCAGCCACGTGTGACCAATGGGTACCACACTGCATCATTTAGGCATGATAGAGTTCATTATCATAGAGTGATGAAAAGACTTCCTACTTCCATTTTGTTTGTTCTTACAATTTTCTCACAAAACTATTGTTTGTTTTGTATATTCCTAGAGATTATATTGTGGTTTTGCTTTCTTGTTTTTCTTAAATTTTTTAATTTGTATTAGTGTTCTACTTGTATTACTCTAAAAGCCATAATACACTCTTCTGCTACTCTTTTATGGGTTTATATTACATATTCAACCTTCAGAGACCTCACTCTCCATACCTGTAGAGCAGGAACAACAACAGTAGCTACCTCCAGAGTTGTTAGGATTGAATTAATATTGCAACCTTTTAAAATGTCCAAACATCCGGTGTGTTGTTTGAACTTTGTGTATTTACTACCATGGCCAGATACCAATCATGTCTGCTTGATCTGCTTTTCTCTTGTACAAATGGCAACTGTACAGGAAAGAGTATTTACCCGACAGCGCAGGGACCGTTTGATCAGAAGGTGCTTGTGTCGAGGATAAAGCTGTGAAGCAGAGACTGGCTGGAAATCAGGCTGTAGGAGGCGCTGCTGAAGGGTGGTCACTAGCAAAAAAGGCAGAAATCAGGCTTAGTTCACAGTCATTTCCAAAAATCAGACTTGTATGTGGGCAAGGAAATATGTAATATGCAAAAATGAACAATATTGACTGACATTTTAAAGTTCTTTTTTTTGGTTTTTCAAGACAGGGTTTCTCTGTGTAGCTTTGGAGCCTATCCTGGTACTCGCTCTGGAGACCAGGCTGGCCTCGAACTCACAGAGATCTGCCTGCCTCTGCCTCCCGAGTGCTGGGATTAAAGGCGTGCTCCAACAATGCCTGGCCTTTTAAAGTTCTTTAAGTGAGTATATCTACTTTATTTTTAATACATCATTTTACTAATGATTCCATTAAGAATCTCTAGCCTCGAGGCATGCAAGAAGCCACAGCACACACAGCTGGCGAACAGAGCAGCAACAGAAGAACCTAGGAAATTACCCTCCGTTAAGTTCACTGGTAGCGTATAGTAGTCTTCAGGTAGAGGTTCCACTTCAGCGACGGCCTGAGCTGGCTCAATCTTCACCTCTTTCTGGTCTTCTCCTTCTCTAAGGCTAAAAAATGAGAGGCAGTAACTTCCCAAGGGCCCACTGGATTATCCTCAAAGTCCTTATCAATGACTGAAGTATTCCTCTAACATGGAGTATCTTATAACTTTGGGTCTTTTCTAAGTCTAAGAATCTTTTTCTTATTGGCTGCTCCAAAAAGAAAAACAATAATAATGATGCCTCTTTAAGCATGCATTTTGTTATTTGCTGTTCTTAAGTCATTTAATGTCCACACTTACGAAAGTCCAGCGAGAGTACTAATGGATGCACCAGCTCGTGGTCGCTGAAGTCTGGTTCCAAGACTGTACTTGTCCTAAACAAAGTTCAGAAATTCCTATTAGGAAGGCCAGTTTATACATCCTATTTATTGAAGGCAAGAAACAGGGGAGGATAGCATGAGAAGCTTAGGGGAATAAGCAAAAACTAAAACAAAACCAAAACTAATAAAACCAAAAAACTACTCAAAAATCTACTGTATTTGTAACCCATATTATTATTCTATTCCTAGAATAAGCAACACAGAGACTAAAACTACAGTGAAACAGTAAAAGTGGACCACACATAGCTTTAATACTAGCCTAAGAAGCTCCAAGCTATGATTCAGGCAAGAACTATGGGAAGTATCTAAGACACATAAAGACCATCTGCTAACTTCTTCAGGGTTAGCAAGAATCAGAAAAGAGAACTTACCACTACATGAATAGTGTGTTGCTGTAGAGCCCCCAAATAGCAGCAGGTTACAACAGAGACAAAAAAAAAATGAAGCATAAGATAAAAGCAAATGCATACAGCCAGCAGGTATATGGGAAGGTTAGAAGGATTGAGCAGTTCCAAGTCCTGTCCTAATATGTAGGCGTGGATATGCTGATCAGGCCACTGGACTATTTGGGAACATTCACTTACTTCTTTGGTAAGTGTAGGTGCTTTAGTTAATGTTTAACTAAATTCAAATCTATATATTTCTATATGCACCTTACCAATCCTTATGTTTTTAGTGGCTTAACTAATTGTCCAGGAGATACTGGATGACAAGTTATCTAACCTTCCAGATCTCATTTCCTCAAGTGTACAATGGGGGAATGCTATCAACCTCACAGCACTGTTGTGGGGATTAAAGCAAGTACAAAGAAAGCAAACTGTTCAGTGAGAACAAATAAAACTTGGGGACAACAGGAAAAACTCAAAATCCCAATCCTTGCTTCTGTCTATTAGTTATTAACTAGCAGAAAATGACATCCACAAATCATTTCTAAGAACAACTCCACATGTGCGTATCTCTGCTTATTTAACCACACAAACGTACTGTGCAAGGCTCAATGAAAGAGTGCTTGCCTACAGAGGTGAGGTCCTAAATTCAATCCCCAGCAACAGCACCATCACTACCACCACAAATACTGTGCATGTGTCACTGATTTCCATCTTGAAAAAAAGTGAGGATGGGAAGGTGTCAAAATGAAAACAAACAAAAGATTAGAAGTGGGAAACGAGGGTGCTATAGGTATGTTACAATGGTAGGCAGAATAAGATCTATGACCCCCTTCTTCTTTTCAATCTTTCTGTAATACACAAAAGTAGTAAACAGTTTTATATAGCCTAAAAATTTAAGCAGTAACTTTTGGTAGGAATAATAATGAAATGGAGCGATGGAGGAAGACAGATGCCCCTACTAAAACACAACAAATTTAAATAAAATCAATGACACAAAAGTACAGCTGTGGGTTTCCACTTCTGTATTTGAGAAACTGCTTTTTATTCCAACTACAGAAATCTATGAAACCGCCATTTTCTGAAATGGCCACTATTCTGATGCCTTACAGGCTTTGCAAAATGTCTTTCTCTGTCAAATTCTCACCGAAAAAGCCAAAGGCATATAGTTTCTACGCCGTGCCAGTTTCTTGCGATCTCGTTCAACCTTTTCCTTCTGAGCAAGCTGCTGGTAATATTCAATCAACTTATTCATCTGTTAAAAAAAAACAAAAAACAAAAAACAAAGACTCTATTGTCTCATAAAAAGATTAACAAAATCAATCAATTGCACTGACTAGAAATAAAATGAATAAAGGAACAGGGAAAGTTATGAAGTAGTTAAATTTTTTTCCTTTTTTCTATAAAGAGAATTTTTCCTCATTATAGTGTTTTCAGAATTGAAATGAAATCTTCACATCCAAAGCGAAGGCTATGAAGGAGTTGAGATGATGTGTTTCATATTTCACTGCCTACCACAACCAGCCTTCTGGTACTGTGGGTAGCACCACCCTTAAGCAGGTAGTTCCAGAGTATATAAGAAAGCAAAACAAGCAAGCCACAGGACAAGCCAGTAAGCAGCATTCCTCCATGGCCTCTGTTTTAGTTCCTGCCTTGAATTCCATCAGTGATAGAGTATGACCTGAGAGTTGTAAGTTAAAAATAAACCCTTTCCTCCCCAAGTTGCTTTTGGTTATGGTCTTTATCAGAGGAAAAGACACCAAACTAAGACACCCTGGAAATGGAGTTACGTTACAGAGCATTATTAGTTGCCATGTAGGTATTGGGAATTGAACCCAAGTCCTCTAGAAGATCACCTAGTACTCTAAACCACTAAGCCATTTCTCCAGTCCATGCAATTAAAACAAAACAAAACAAAACAAAAAAACAAAAAACACTAATTTGGGGCTGGAGAGATGGTTCAGTGGTTAAGAGCTCTGGCTGCTCTTCCAGAGGTCTGGAGTTCAATTCCCAGCAATCACATGGTGGCTTGAGCCCTCTTCTGGCCTGCAGGCATACATGCAGGCAGAACACTGTATGCATAATAAATAAAACTTAACAAAACAAAACGAAACACTAATGCGATCCTGTCACTTCCTTTTCCATTTGTCAATATCACGCTCCATTTTAGTCACTCTCTTAGTTATTATATGCTTTGTTTCTTCCATCTACAGGATGTTCCCCTACTTGAATTCTTTTCCCTGTGTCTATCATCTCCAGACAGCAGCATAATGCTCAAGCTGACCTCATTAGTTGGAATTTCCAAGAAATGTTGACAAGGTACAATTTTACCCGCACATTACTTACTATAGTTTCTACTTTACTTGGAGAGATTTTTTTTTCCCCTTTCCCAGTAGACAAGCTGAAGATTTTACACATACACGCCCCATCAGACATGCTGAAAATTTCACACATACAAACACATATGTCTAAGTACTTGTTCATTTATGCATGCATTTATGTAGGTGAGCATCTACAAAATACAACAAATAATTCAAGAAGTCTGTATCAACCTATGCTACTCAATGGTACATGTGAGAAAACCATCTTCTTACACTCTCACCCCGGATACTTGCAATATTTTTAATTTTTGCTGATGGTATAGGTGGAAAACTGTAACTTCCTGTTTAGTTTTCATTTTGGCAGTATAGTGTGCATGTTGTTAGCAGCTCATCAGTTCCCCACACTGCTCTACTGCAGGGGTTTAAAAGACCAACTGTAGCACATACTGCACAAATGCCCGTGATGCTTCTGTAGGCAGTCAGTACTGGTCCAAAGGTACCTTCAAAATCAGTAGTGTCTCTAGGGCTGAAAGGTCCACGTGCTCATATTTCTAAGCGTATTTGATAGCAAACAAAACTTTTAGTTACTGCCGGGCATAGGAAGAAAACAACAAAAGCTACTTCATTCCTCTTTTGAAACATAACTAACACTGAACCAAAACTGTAAGTGTTTTCCATGACTTTAGTCAAGAGAGAAGGAGTAGCACTGACTTAATGCCTCTCTGTGAGTAACTGACCCCACAGTACAAGTACAGGTCTTTCTCAGCATGGGCCACAACACTGCCTTTCCATATTTCATCCTCTGTGGCCTAAGTTCTTGTACTTACCCGTTGTGTGTGAGGATTTTCTGGTTCTTGCCAACCGCCACTTGCTAGAAAATAAACAGTAATTTTATCTTTTTATTTTCGTAAAATGTCACCTGTAGGACCTAAATTAAAAACACAGAAGCACAGAATTTCCAAGAAAGAATACTAATAGACCAGCATGCTCAGAAGAGCAAAACACACACACCCTCTGTCTGTGTCTGTCTGTCTGTCTGTCTGTCTGTCTGTCTGTCTGTCTGTCTGTCTCTCTCCCTCCTTCCCTCTCCCTCTCTCTCCCCCCTCCTCTTCCTCCCTTCCCCTTCTCTCTTTCTTTGCAGTACTAGGGACTGAACCTAGGGCTCTGCCCATCTTCTATCACTGAGCTATATTCCAAGCCCTTTAAACAGCTCAGGTAGTCAAGTCTGTACTGCAAGAGCTTCTATGCACTGAGCCATCTCACCAATCTTGTTTCTAAAATGTTTGAGACAATCTTGTTAAGTTGCCAAAGCAGGCTTTGTTCTGTATCCCAGGCAATCTTAGAATTTGTTAATTCTCCTGCCTCAGCTTCCCAAGTAGCGTAGGATCATAGGCCTAGGCTAGCAAGCCCAATATAATATTGTTTCTTTAAATATAACAAGGGCGACAATGACCATCAACAGCAACAACAACATGCACAGTGTCTGCACCAGACACCTGAAACAGGGCATAATTTTTTCTGTTCTCATAATGCATTCTGAGGTAAGGTATGCTGATTGGTTCCATTTTACAGATAAGAAATCCAAAGCTCAGAAAAGTAAACAACTCTGAAGTCACACAGCTAGAATGGCAGAGACAGAAATCAACTCAGGAAGTAGGCAGGGTCTGGAAACCCTACTCTCATCTGTAGCATGACCCAAATTCTGAACAAGTGGATCTACACATACAAAACAAAATCCCCAATCTCAAAACCCATACAAACCTCCAAACTCTTGACCATTAAAAAATGTATAGAACTTACCTGAAAAATGGACAATAGGTTGAAACCTAAGGGTTAAAACTTAATTTCTACACATACACAGGGTAGATTTTAGCAAAAGTGGATTAGGCTAAAGTTTCTTCAGTAAGAAACAAAGTACAAACTATAAACACACATGCACACCCAAGGAATAAGAAGGGGCAAAAGGAACCAGATATGGTAGTATGTGTCTATATTACCAGCACTTAAGAGGTGGAGGCAAGATGAACAGCAATTCAAGACCAGCCTGGGCATGAGATCCTGTTTTTTAAAAAGGGATAAAAGATTTGTAGACACTTTGCTAAAGATGCTGAATGTGTGACAGATAATAAAACACAAACTAGCTCACAAATGTAATCCACCATTTCTTTAAAAATTTGTTTATAATAAAAAGTATAATATGGTAAAACAAAAATTAACACATTAGAATTGGACAAGACAAATAAACAGAAGGAAAAGAGCCCAAGAAAAGGTGCAATAATCAGAGATCCACTTGTTTGTTCACACAGGAATCCCATAAAAACACTAAACTAGAAGCTTTTTCAAGACCAGTCTGGGGTACAGAGTGAAACTGTCACAAAAACAAAATAAAATACAAATGAGAAGATAGCTCAGCAGCTGAAAACATTTGTTGCTCTTGCAGAGGACCTGGGCTCAGTTCCTAGCACCCATGTGGAGGCTTGCAATTGTAACTCCAGTTTTAGAAGATCTAACACCCTCTTTTGACCTTCATGGGCACTGCATGAAATGTGACACATGCAGGTAAAATACCCAATGCAAAACATAAATAAACAGGTTGGAGAGATGGCTCAGTAGTTAGGAGAAACTGGCTACTCTTCCAGTGATTCCTAGCACCCACATGGCATCTCACAACCATCTGTAACTCCAATTCCAGGGGACCTGATCCTCTGCTGATAGTGAGACATGCCTCCAAAAGTAAATAAATAAGGCTTGCAGGATGGCTTAGCAACTAAAGGCACTTGCCACTAAGCCTGAGGGCCCACACCAGGGAGAGCATCAACTCCCCAGAGTTGTCCCCAGGCCCCCAAACAGGCATGCACACACACACAAACAATAAAAATAAGTAAACAGGGGCCATCAAATTGTTCTTCAAGATGGTAATGTATGGAGAATCATCCAGTGTCTGACTAACATGATATAATCAGATTTAAGAAATATTTGAGGAACAGCATTTTCCTAATTTGTAGCTAGTTGAATACCTTTTTTTTTTGGGGGGGGGGGGTTTCCAGACAGGTTTCTCTGTGGCTTTGGAGGCTGTCCTGGAACTAGCTCTTGTAGACCAGGCCGGTCTCGAACTCACAGAGATCTGCCTGCCTCTGCTTCCTGAGTGCTAGGATTAAAGGCATGTGCCACTACCGCCTGGCTCGATGGATACCTTTTAAGATGATCACTTTTCTGTTTAGGTATGAGAACCGTTCAAATCCTCTACTGTGTTCCTTCTGACTCTGTGAAAATTGATCCATAAGGGTTCTTCAATTTTGGTTAGTCTGTTATCACTGAGTCCTGCACTTTTAATTTTTGTTCATGATTTTTTTTTTTTTTTTTTTTTTTTTTGAGGAGGATTTCACATAGCCCAGGATGGCTTTGAGCTCCAAATGCAGGCGAGAATGACCCTGAAGTTTTGATCCTTCTGCCTCTACCTCTGAAATGTTGGGATTACATGTGCAAGCCAGAACACCTGGTTTATGCAGTGCTGGGAATTGAACCCAGGGCTTCATAAACTACATCCCTAGCCCAAGAAATAGTTTTTAAAAAAATAAATGGTATGAAGTTTGACTATAGTACTAGAATCACAAATGCTACTTTACCAACTCTTAAGAAAAGTGAATAGTACTAGCCTGAGATGAAAAACTATGATCCATAAATGTGAGGATATGGGTACATAGATGCCTTACTGACAACCGTTCTGAATTTAGGTTCTACAGCCCAACAGATACAGAGCTGATGGTCAATGGGGAATTACAGCACTGACAGCAGAACAAAATCTCATGTTCAAGTACATCTTACTCACTCACCTACAGATTTGTCTGCCATGTTCAAGTACACCTGACTCACCTACTGATTTGTCTGCCATGCCCACATCTCTAGAAGTCCATCGACAAAATCCACAGGCCAAGTAGTAGGCTTTCTTCATGGTGGTTTTGGCTGGGTCATCTGGAAGCTGTGTGGAGATGCTTGTTGCCCGGGTGGAAAGAGTATGCATGCACCCAGGGCAGTCAAAGCAGTTGGCACATCTGTGACATGACAAACACAACTGTTCATTCAGCTAATACTTATTAAGTACCTACTAAGTGCTAGACATTGGTTTAGTTCAAGATCTTTTAAACTTTTTCTACTTTTGAGCTCTTTCACTGGAGAAGTTTTTCATATAATCTCCAGTACATACTGTTGTAAAACAGGTACACAAAACATTTACTGCTAATAAATTAAGGAAAATTAAAAAACAGTTGTTATACATATAATTTTACTATTTATTAAAGATAAAAGCAAGTAAGTGTGCTTGTTTATTTTATATAATGAATTAAATCTTTGCTAAATAGTTGATAATGCAGGATAGAGAATCTTCAATGCTTTTCAGAATTGATATTTTGATTGTGTATAGCCATATACATAAACACATAGTATAAAATGCCATAAGTGTTTCAGAAATCGTTGGAAATTCTGTTCTAATCCTAAGCCAAAATGCATTTAATGAATTTTCTGCTATGTATATGAA